TATTAAAAATTCAAAAATAAAAGACACTAAAGTATTTTAATACAAAATTTTAAGCCATTTTCATCAGCCCTATCGAATACAAATGACAAAATACTGTTTTGTACTTAAAATGCGTATTTGAAATGCATGTATCATGCATACTGCCCGTCTCTGAATGTAGCAATAATTTATATTCCAAATTGAATGACATATTAAAAGTTGGCGGTTCAGTCCGCTGTGGCGATCCCTGATGAATAAAGAGAATAAGCCAATGAAAAATGAATGAATGAATGAATTTAATAACATATTAAAAGCCTTTATTTAAATGTCTCTTCTGTGACCCACATGCAAGATTTTCATACACCAAAAACATTTTTTATGTAAATGAAAATAATATAATATGAAGCACTTGTCAGCTATAAATACTGAGGTAATATGCACCAGAAGAACTCGGCTGGATGTAAAACTGTTCATATTTTATTTATTACATTTTTTCATGTTGTTTTATGAAAATTTCCTGAGGCCACCTTGGCAGCTTTTGAGGCCCCAGTGGGTCTCGGCCCCTCTGTTAGAGAACTGTGATGATCTAAGCATGTTTTGAAGTGCACAGTTACATCTATAAGACTATGAATAATATTGTCTTGCTGTAATGTAACACCTCTTAACCTTACACATCTTAAATAAAGGCATTAACTACAACAAGGACATTAATGTGGGCACCTTAACCCAAGACAATGCCTAATGCCTTTTCCACAGCAGACTTCTTTTTGTGTTTTTACATTTAAACCCGTTCCAGGAGTAACATACACATTCCAGAGTAACAAAGGCAGTGCAAGCCTCATGTTCCTGCTGGAAAGCTGAAGCTTCTTGTGTTGCACTGATCTCAGCTGGGCACAATACGACCCATGGAGCGGGCGGGAGTGAAATAAGAGCATTGGAATGCGGAACCGGTGGGAACTGTAACTAGTAAAGGAAGCTATTACGAATGAGGCAGTTCATCGTCATTAACTCCACTGACTTCAAGTCCATGTTCTTAGCAAGAGGACAAATGACACACAGAGGTTGGAGCTTTCACATATCAACGGAAAAACAAACCTCACACGTATGTTAAGTTATACAATAAAGATATTAAGCAAGTAAATGTGAATATCCTTACTTTTATCTGCGTTTATTCCATTTATAAGCGTGGCGAACACTAGTGAAATCCAGTAGAGACACCGCAACGTAGCACTGGAATCCATTGAGTTTTCTATGGACTGAAATCCCCGCAGCGATTTCAAGAGATTAAAATCCACAACTGGGTTTCTAGCATAGCAAAAGCAGCGCGTGTGAATGACCCACCCCAAACTTTCAGTCTTGTTTTAATAGCGCCCACACCCACGCGTTGGGTTCAACTCCTCTATGAGTCATTTCCTATGTACTGTACTGAGATTCTGTGTGTGGCTGTGTCTCAAAAGCTTGTGGGCTGTCTTTGTAGATGGCGTTTAACGTGACTTAAAATTAAAGTAGAAAGCCGACTACTTTTAAAACAGAGAACTTAAGTTGTTTGTTTTAATGGCGTTAAGTTTGGCTTGTTTGTGTTCTATCTTTTTGTGGACATGTTGAAGAAACAGCTCCCCATTTGTTTGTTTTTTTGTTTGTGTTTGTAAGTTCCTATGTTTTTAAGTTTACAAATTTGTCACACTTTTGTCCTCAGACATGTTATTGTTTTATTATGAAAATCCTAATTTGTTGTTGTCTCTTGAATGCATTCTTAACTTTTTGTACTGAATGCAAAATGTTTTATTTATAATCAGCTTTCTAGAAATCTCCTTTGTTTTTTTTTCATATTTTTCTTGCTGAATTTGACTCGTTACCTCTTTTAAACTTACTTAAAATGAGAAAAGTGCCGTTTTATTTATACATTGACAACCTTTTCAAGGACACACAAACCCTTGTCAAATAGATTTTTCTCTATTGTGTAATAGCTATAATTCATGTAAACCCATTCATGCAAACCCACATTTTTGGTTGATTTTCCTGTTATTATTATTATTTTTCCTCTGTATGTGACATTTACAATTAAGAGACGTGTCATATTTCCGTTAATGTACAAGTTTGACAACAAAAAGATAAAGTGCTATACATTAATGTGGCTAAAAATAAAACACTATGAAAAGCAAAAAATAAATAAATACTACTGTACATTCCACAAAGCCACTGACTTTGAGTTACTTTTTGGTAGGTTGTTTTCTAGTTTGTCAGTGATGTTTTCTTTTACGTAAAGAATGTTCTCTCTAGGAGTGCATCAATCTGTCTGTTTTATGTTCTATATAGGTTGGTACAAAAAATCTCTCCAGCAATGTGATTAAATAAATAATACAAAAACATGGTCCATGTATGTTCTTCTGAGAACATCACCAGAATTTCTAGATTGGTTCCCAAAAAAAAAAAATGGGAACCACATGTAGACGTTCTGTTTGCTCGGTAGCTTTCAGAAGGAATGAGAATAAGCATGGTTCTTGTGTTGTATCAAAAGCATTTAGTCCTCAATCTTTTGGCTTATAGGCCTACTCTTTGATTCCACATTTATGAGACAATTTTGCCCAGTCTTGATTTCCCAGAACACTTGTAGCTTATCCAGAAAAAAAAAATTCAAAAGGTTCTTCAGCTTAGGACATTAAAACAATGTTCTGTAAAAAGAATTCACACTGCATTGCATGATAGAATGGTCTATGGAAGCCCGTTCCACCACTGACTGACAAAAAAAAAAAATACTAAAAAAAAGTTCGAATTTTGAGTTATAGTTAGAAAAATGAGGTACGAAGTCAGAATTCCGAGTTATAAAGTCGCAATTCTGAGCAAATTCAGAATAACAAGGGATAAAGTCAGAATTCTGAATTTAAGTCGCAATTCCAAGTTATAAAGTCAGAATAAGTTATAAAGTCACAATTCCGAGTTGGCTATAAAGTCGGAATTTGAGGTTATAAAGTCATAATTCTGAGTTTTAGTTGCAATTCGCAGTTATGAAGTCAGAATTCCAAGTTAGCTATAATGTTAGAATTCTGAGTAATAAAGTCGCAATTTTGAGCTAGTTATAAACTCAAAATTCCAAGCTATAAAGGCAGAATTGCAAGTTATAAAGTCGCAGTTCCGAGTTAGCTATAAAGTCGCACTTCCAAGTTACCTAGTCAGAATTCCAGCTTATAGTCAGAAAGTTATAAAGTCGCAATTCCAAGTTAGCTAGTCAGAATTCCAGCTTAGTCAGAAAGTTATAAAGTCGCACTTCCAAGTTACCTAGTCAGAATTCCAGCTTATAGTCAGAAAGTTATAAAGTCGCAATTCCAAGTTAGCTATAAAGTCAGAATTTCAGGTAATACAACTCAGAATTCTGAGCTATTAAGTAAAAATTCAGAGTTATAAACTCAGAAATCTGACTTTATAATTTGAAATTCTGACTTTATGACTTGAAATTCTGAGTTTATAACTCAGAAATGTGACTTTATAACTCAGAATTCTGACTTTATATTCAAATATATATATATATATATATATATTTTTTTTATTAGTCAGTGGCGGCAACGGGCTTCCATAAATGGCAGAATGTCCTATGAACACTGAGCTAATTCTCTTGAATGAGATAAAAACATATGGCATATTCCATTGTTTCACACACGAATTAACTTTAATGAATCAAACTTTTATAATTCCTTCCGAATCAATGCAATGTTTCATCTGCTGGTATTAAATATAAGAATTTAATTTCTTTCTCATAATATTTAGAACATTTAGAATCAGAATTCTTTTGGTAATTGGCTCTGAAATCAAATGTACTTAGAATTCAAATTACCCTAAAAAATACACTGTTGTTTGATTTCAGAATAAATGACGATGAACTTATTATTTTCAAACCCAAAACATTGTCAACATGCCTTTTTTTGCACAAATAAATCGATTCTTTTCACTGAATCAGAAACATTGATTCATAAATCTTTCAGAAATGTGAATGAAGATATTATGAATGGCTAAAATATTTCTGTTTGACGTTCCTCAAATGCACTTAAGCAAAAGTATAACAGTCAAGAATCCCGGCTTGTGTTGTAAAGCGGAATCCTTCACATATGAAAACGAAGCTCAGTTCTCAAAAGTGTACATCGGCAACTTTTGAAACACGGCCATACAATCTCTGTATTCACAACACGAGTGGGACACCGTAGATGGCAGCCTCACAACACACTCGTTGTCTGCGAACAGTTTCGTTTTTACTTTGAAGTGACACATTTAGTGGAAGAGTAACCAATTTTCTTGTAGTAGGAAATCGACGACGTTATGATATCGGCGGCGGTCATATTGACGTGAATATATGATGTCAGACCTAACTTACCAGGAAAACAACCTAAAGCAGCGCGCGTTTAAACCAACACAACATGTGGAAAATAAGTGCTTTTTTGTAAGAGCACGAGAGACCCCAGGCTCTTCGTACAAAGTATGTTTGAGCAAAATAGGCACATTAAAGTCACCCCACCCAACTACGTAATTCACTGTCTCTGGTCCAAGAGAGCAAACAACAGTTCAGTGTTTGGCAGACTCACACAACGCAGACTGAGAGGAAAAGCAGCAAGACGGTTATAAATATGATAAGAACGAAAAAACCATGGCTGCGGGGAATAACATAAGGTCAATTGCGCAATGTGATGAAAAACATTTACATATATATTCCGAGCAAAAATTTGCAAGAGAGAAAAAAACGTGTTTTTCCCCCTCCCCTCTTCGGGACTCCACTAGCGAGTCTTTTCTAATAGTAAGCACGTCTGTTTAAACCATCTGAAAAAACATGCATTGCATTGGAAGACAGCATATAGACTAGTAATTCTGAGTTTTGCTTTTGGAAAGTCCAGTTTTGATGTATATTTTCCACCAAGTAAAACAATAACATCATTAAATTCATTTTTGAAGCAATCATGACAAACCATACACTCGCTTTTAAATGCAAAGGGGAAACTGCTGTCTAGTTTGAGATCAAAGCAGAAAGTGTTCACAACTACCTGTATCAGCTTTTATTATTTAAAGAAACTGTGCAGTAGTTTGACATGTTGGGGATACATCTGGAACTGGTTGGGGTATATACTGTACCGGACTAAAGCTAAATCGGCTGAGACGTTTACTTTAGCATGAATATGTTTGTTTTGCCTTTAAAAAGTCACTGCAACACCATCTATGTTTCTAATTTTATGCATGTCTATTCTTTCCACCCAGTACCATCACATCTGTTCATTGCTAAACTTTAAGGGGTTCAGTAACATTGAGTGTCGCCATGGAAACTGGCTGTGTTTCTGGATAGAGTTACTGTGTGATTTAAACGGATAAGGCCATAATTGTCAAAACAAAACAATTTGTGTGAACATCAGTCAGTCATGTTCTGTAAAGTTATGATATTTAGAAGCAGATACAGTCTTTCCTCTCTTTTTTTCATGGGGAGTCGACAATAAGTTTAAAAATGCAAAGAAAAACAGAAAAACACACAACTCAATGGATTCCTCTGCGATGAAGGAGCATGGCTTACGTGCTGTAGACCATGACTACTTCACAACTGTTTCCATTCTGTCACTGTCTGTTTGGTCACTAGCACCACCTATCACAGATGAGACTGGAAGCGGCCCTTTAGAGCATTTTAAAATACCACACCATGGTAATCCTGTTCAAGACCACTTCCATCCCTTCTTTTTTTCTCCCATCTAATGTTAAAAAGTCCACCAGAAAGGTTCAGAGTGAATTAAGTGATGTAGATACGGTGGAAGTCATTTGCTCCGAATGCAGCGTTGCATTTGGGGCACTTCCTCTGGCGAGTGTCATAGCGAGTCTTCAAGCATTCATAGCAGAAGACGTGGAAACACTTGGTGAGGACCGTCTCCTTATCACGAGTATTACAACAGGGGCAACGCAATTTAGCCTAGAAAAGATAGAAAAGTCAGGTTAGGCACAAATAATAGTGATACAGTTTCTATTCCAGTCAAATGTTTAGATGCTTAATCCATTATAATGACATACAAATTGAACAGTGCAAATATAAATTCTTTAGAGAATTAAATCTTAACATTATATAAAAAGAAGAAAGAACAAAAATTTGTAAACTTGATGCGAAAGATGAAGACGATAAAGTAAAATGGGAGCCATATATATTTTAATAGAGCTGTCGCTGTGATACTCCTCATTACTGTTATTCATGTCCTCCATAATAACCAATGAAGTACAGCAATGTAAAATTTTTGGTGTGACAGAACTGTGACAAATGTCAATCTAGAGTGATGTTGAAAGATGCAAAAAGGTCATAATGGTGTTTGAAAAAAAAAGTCTAATACAAATGAAACAAGTCTTATAATAATATTCTATGCATTTTTCTTTTCACTAGAGGGACATAAACATGTCAGGTTTCATTTAAAATAGTTGCTTATAAAAGTTCATATTTGAAAAGTGTAAGTGACGCCAATTTTCACTGTTTTGGTAAACTACTTTTAACTCAAATAACCACTCATTACAAATGAGATATGCAGAAGAGCATCTCTGAATGCATAGCACGTCCAACCTTGAGGCGGATGGGCTACATCAGCAGAAGACTCCACCAGGGCCAACTCCTGTCAGCTAAGAACAGAAAACTGAGGCTACAACTCGCACAGGCTCAACTAAATTGCACAATAGAAGATTGGAAAAATGTTGCCTGGTCTGATGAGTCTCCATTTCTGTTGCAACATTTGGATGGTAGGGTCAGAATTTGGCATCAATAACATGAAAGCATGGATCCATCCTGCCTTGTATCAACGGCTCAGGCTGGTGGTGTAAAGGTGTGGAGGATATTTTCTTGGCAAAATCTGGGTCCATTAATACTATTTGAGCATCGTGTCAACACCACAGCCCACCTGAGTATTGTTGCTGACCATATCCATCCCATTAAGACCACAGTGTACCCATCTTCTGATGGCTACTTCCAGCAGAATATTGCACCATGTCATATAGCACAAATCATCTTAGACTGGTTTCTTGAACATGACAATGAATTCACTGTTCTCAAATGGCCTCCACAGTCACCAGATCTCAATCCAACTGAGCACCTTTGGGATGTGATGGAACAGGAGATTTGATTCATGGATGTGCAGCCGACAAATCTGCAGCAACTGTGTGATGCTATCATATCAACAAGGACCACAATCTCTGAGGATTATTTCCAGTACCTTGCTGAATCTATGCCATGAAGGATTAAGGCAGTTGTGAATGCAAAATAGGCTCCAACCTGGTACTAGTAAGGTGTACCTAATAAAGTGGCTGGTAAGTGTATATTATATACATAATAATAACAATATTAAAAACATACACAAAACAGAACTATTGTGAAAAATGATTACAATTTAAAATAAGTGTTAAATGTCATTTAAGAAATTCCAGCAGAATATTTTTAGGATTCTTTGGTAAATCTTATTCAAAACAACAAAAACAGCAATTACTTGAACATCTTGTAAAATTATGAAGTCAATTTTACACCATACTATAGATCAATCACTATAGATCATATCCTTTTTGAACCAGAATTTAAAAAAAAAGTATTTACTGTGCCTAAACCTTTGATTACATACATCAAATGAATAACTGAAGAGCAAATCTTCACCTTATACTGATTAATTTCTTCTTGCAGAATCTCATCAGCATCCGTGTACACCTCAACCTTCTTCTGCTTCTCCAGCTTGCGCCTTAGTCTGGATAAGTCCTCCTGAAATAAGCAACAGAACACCAATGTTTTACACATTCTTCCCACTCATCTGTATCCCAAACACATCTACAACACGCATGCCCATGTACCTGTGCTTTCTTGAGGTTGACACTCTCCCTCTCACGGGCGGTGCGGTTGTCTAGTACCGAGGCCTGGATCTCCCTCAGCTTGGTCTGAGTGTGTTCCAGCTGTACTTTAAGGTCTTCGGCCAACTGGGCCGCCTCCACAGCCTGAGCCATCATGCAGAAAGACAAGCATTAAACACACACACACACACATCTGGAAATGTGCACTAATGGTTGGTTAAGCTGAGTCATGGTTGTCATGGACATGAGAACAGAGGTGGGCGTCTGTGATCTTTCCGGATTTACCTTGCGCTTGTTGAGCTCCAATGCTTGAGTGCGCAGCGCCAGCTCTTTCTCCAGCGTGGCCAGCGTGCTCTGCAGGACGCCCTCCTTCTCTTCCAGTTTCTGTACGACCAGCAGCTGAGCGTCCACCTGGGAAGGGCAGTAAAAAGGAGATGATGCAATCACAGCAGTATTGTGAAAACAGAAGTTGTTTACTGCTTTTATGTGCAGGCTTTTTTGCCTTAAGACATGAGAGGCCTCCATTCAAGCAGGGATGGACAAACTATTCACACAATTATTTTTTTTCTAGACATTTGCTTTTTGTAGGGATGATGCTTTAGACTTTCGGGTACTTTACCCTGAATTACAGGTAGTTAAGGGCCCTGTTTACACCTGGTATTAACAGAGTTTTTCATCGATCTGATACTAAGTGGTTTGCTAAAATGCCTTACAGTTTTCAGTTAATGTTATCATGCATCTCTTGTGATCACCCGTCTATCCTCTTGTTTGATCACACTTTGTTGGGAACCACTTAGTGACACATATCTATTAGTGCAGTGTTTCTCAACCACATTCCCGAAGGACCACCAGCTCTGCACATTTCCTTGTCTCCTTAACCAAAAACACCTAATTCAGATCATAAGCTCATTAGCAGACACTAAAAGACCTATAATGGGTGTGACCGACAAAGGAGACATCCAATACATGCAGTGTTGTTGGTCCTCCAGGAACGTGGTAAAGAAACACTGTATTAGTGAATGAATTAACCTAAACAACATGCTTAATAGCTAGTGAGAAAGGATGCATTTTAATACCTCTTTTCAACTGAGCAGTACGGTTCAGTTCACTACAAGTCACCTGATCAGGCTCGTGTATCCTTACTTTGTAAGAATGATGTACGCCAGGAAGTTGCAGTCGATATCATTCTCGCTCAAATGAAATCATACGGGCCATTCATATATTGCGTTAATTGTGCACTAAAGTTCCAAACAAAAATTGACTATGACCAAGTCTAATTATATATAATCTTATGATCTTGCCACATAATGAATTAACTACACATCTCAAAGGATTATCGGATATCATAAGCATCAAAAGGATATAGTTAACGGTTTCGCTGCCCACAGTGTGTTTAATTTTGTGAGGTAATTAATAAACTTGCATCTGAAAGTTGAGGTTGTTGGTCACTTTTTCGTTTTGTGTGGTTTATTTATAAACTAATTTCAAGAGGAGCACACGCTTCTGATTGAACACAGCTGGTCATGCATTAGCCAATTCAGGATTCACCAATTAGACGATTCCTTAGTCTCTATAAATACCTTAAGTTCCATATCACAGCCATCTTCGTTTAGAGAAATCCCCTCTTCCGCCCCTACTGCTCCTCCTTTCTTAGATGGGTGGCACAGTGGCCCAGTGGTTAGCACTGTCACCTCACAGCAAGAACATTACTAGTCCTTACCAAGCCAGCCGACATTTCTGTGTGGAGTTTACATGTTCTCCCCGTACTCACGTGGGTTTCCCCTGTGCCCCCTGGTTTCCTCTCACCATCCAAAAACACACAACCTAAATCAACTGACTAAATCCAAAACCGGCATCATAGATGTGCTCCTAGTAGGTAGTTATATCTTAATAGCAATCCCTATCCGTTCATTAGCTACTACAGCAGGGAAGTTTCTGAGAACTACCTGAGCTCAAACTCCCCTCTCGCCATGCAAAGGGAGGAAGCCCTGGGCTCGAAGACCTTATCAGCTCACGACTCCCTCCTGCGCCAGCACACCAAACATACTTTGTAACTAATCATCAGCTAGGTGTGAACTCTTGAAATTAGTAAAATATATTGATGTTGTAATAATTAAGTATTGACTTTATTAACACCAATGCTCTCCATTTAGCTGTCAATCAGTAGACCACTGTAAGGCACAAGTAAATGTCTGTCAAGAATTACTTTTGGGATGTTTTGAACAAAGCCATAGTCAACAAGTTAATACAACCCACAACTTTATGATTATAAAAATTGGTTGCACATGTAAGTGCAGGGGTGCAGCTATGGATTCAGGGCCCTCTGAACAATGTACTGACTTGGGCACACCTTAAATCTAAGCCCACCTTCTGTGAAAGTCTGTGTCGCCCCCTTTTAAATTTCAAGGGCCTTAATCAGAATGGGCCCCTGTATAATTTTTTTTTTCTCTTGCGCACCTGGGTTTTGAAAGTGAGCACTTGGTCTGCCAGCTCCTCTTTCTCCTCCCGCAGAAGCTTGTAAATCTGGTTGGATTTGATTCTCTCACTCATTAGTTTAAAGTTGGCATCGTCTTTTTCTCGCAGCTGCTGCATGAGCCTGCTGTTCTGCTCCTGCATGTCTTCAAACGCCTGTCCAGTCACATCCATCTCGCTCAGCAGAGCCTCTTCCTCCTGAAAGGTGCGCATGGGTACGGTGAGATAACCTTGCATGCATTTGCTTCAAAATTACAGACGTTGTTCTAAAAAGATTCTAACACAACAACTAACTTCACCTGTTTAGTAGCAGCCAGCTTTTTCTGCAAGTGTTCGATGGTCTCTTCGGCCACACGAATCTTGCGTAGAGCGTCTTCGTCTGCCAGCTTTTTGCTTTCTTTCTTTTCCCTCTCCTCTAATTCCCGTACTCGCTGCCTCAACTCTTCCACCTACCAGGCAATGTTGACATTAGCATTAAGGGAAAGACCACCCCCAAGTGAATTGCATGTTAATGGTTTTGCCACACAGAAAGACAGCCAAGCCCATTTACCTCTGCTTTAGACTTCTTTTCAGCAGCCATGAGTTGCACTTTATCTCGCTGCTCCTTTGGTGCCGATTTGTACATGTCTAGCAGAAGTTTCATTTCCTTCTGAGACTCCTGAGCTTTTCTGTTGGCATGACACAAATGATGTGTGGGTGACTCAGATCCAAAGTTCATTAAATGCTACATAATATGTGATATTATAGTTGCCTAAAATAGAGCAGACGTAGGCAGAAAATGACACATACTTGAGCTCTGCCCTGAGCATCTTGAGAGTGTCTGAGTCCTTCCTCTTCAGCTCCTCACTGCGCTGTCTCTCCCGCTCTCTCTCTCGCTCTCTCTCTCTCTCCGCCTCCCGCTCTCGCTCACGTGCTCGCTGTCTTTCCAGCTCTCTCCTCCTCTCTTCCTCCTCCTCCTGATCATCATCTTCCTCTTTCTTCACCTCCAGACCTCCATCACCCACACTCTCCTCCAGTATCAGCGCAGTTGCTTCTCCACTCTGGCACTTCAACTGAAAAACAACAGGAGCGACAGTATTACATTAGTTCATGAAAATACGATCATTTGAAAACGGTAACAGCTCAACATATACGATAAAAGTGCACTGAATGGTGCGCAATGATTTTATTTTTTTACTTTCATCCTGAGAAATCTGTAGAACTGATTGGATCAAAGTAATGTATTTTACAAATAAAGAAAATAAGATATTTATTAGGAAAAGGTTTGGAATGAGTCACTTTTAAACATTCATTCATTTTCCTTCGACTTAGTCTCTATTTCAGAGGTTGCAACAGTGGAATGAACCACCAACTTTCTTATGCATTTCATTTTAGGTTAGCTACAACAAGTTACCATCAAGTTACCAATCCGTACTGAAATTTTAAAAACTCTGTGAACATTTGAACGCTGTTGAGAACTTTCTTAAACAGCGCTGATTTGAAACTGTGTTCACGTATTAAGCCTGGTTTATAATTCTGCGTCAAGTAACCGGCGTAACCCACGGCGCATGCAATGCGCGTAGCTGTGCATTTATACTTCTGCACACTGTCTCTGTTGGTCTGCATTAACACTTCCGAAACGTTAGTTGGCAGTGAAGTGTAAATGTTCCTCTGTGTCGAGTTTCTTCGCTGCTGTTTTGCTTTTCCTGAACACTTCCTGGATGCACAAGTGGCTCAAACTCGCTCATTTTGAGGCAGGAACTGGCGGACGTGCAACAACTTTAACTATGAGGTAAACACAAAACTAAACTTTCCATACGGAGCTCCTTCACAGGACTCCACACTTGTAAACAATCGCTCCATTGGGCTAGCGCCACTCGCGCGGCTTTCAGTCCCGACCAGACTCGTCAGTGCTACCAAGCCGACCAATCACAGAGCTTGCGCTACGCGTCGTTGCGACTTGTAGTTACATTTTTTGAGAGGTGCATGTCAGTAACGCTGACGGCCACGGCGAAGGGCTATGCGTCAGCGCCATAGAATACGCCGGCATTTGAAGCAGAAGTATAAATCAGCCTTTAATCAGAAATGACTGTGATTGGCCATGAAGGTCATCAGTTCACCGAATTCACAGCTGTTTACTGAGTGTAAACACAGATACACGGACACTGGAAGGTCAACGTCAATCAGCTGGTTTGTCTATAAGCTGACATAAGAGCAATATGCTGATGATTCACGCCTTTAAAATGCTTCAATGTCCCTGTATCTTTGTTTACACTCAGTCAACAGCGATGAGTTCGATGAACCGAAGACCTTCACAGCCAATCACAGACATTTTTGTTGAGCATGTAAGCACAATGGCAAATCAGCGCTGTTTAAGAACGTTTGCAGAAAATGCAAGTTTTTAAAACTTCAGTATCTATTGCTACTGAATTCCAGTATCGTGACAACCCTATTACCTTGAGAACAAAAAGGCTATTTAATTTTTCTATTAGTAGTATTTAACTATTTTGGCACCATTTTCTCAGTTGGAGTTGTTGTAATAAATAATTGAAAATTTGGTGTAATAAAATCTATGTATAATTATGTGTGTATTTAGTATGTAAGTCAAAGTTTGTTTTCTATGTATAAACAGTTGTTTGCCTATCTGTTAGTGATATATTTTAAGTGACACTGCAAAAACAAAAATAGTAATGCATCAAAATTAATGTTGTTTTTAATTACTGACATAAACCTGTAATAATCAATTTTTCAAAAGTCTGTTCATCTAATGTATAGAAAAAAATATATATAATAAATTTGTTCATAAACTGTGAATTGAAGGGTTAAACTTAATTAAATTTATTTTGGTATCATTAATCATAATTAGCTAGCAAGATTAAGTAATGGTTAGCTTTGTTAAATTATTTATGAATAAAGCACTTTGGGTGTATAGCACTGTTAAAAGTTCAATACAATTGCATTCATTCATTAGCTTTAATATGAAAAGACTCTTTCAGCATATGTAGACACACATTCTGCATATGTAACAACGACGTTAATGTATGTTTCTTTGTTTTCTCATGGTGGAAAAACATATTTGTAACTGTATGTTTCCAGCCAAAAAACAGAAATGGTGAAAAACCATAAAACTGTCAATGAAAGCCAGTATGAGCAATACCTTGTTTATTTCCATCTGTGTTTCACGTAATTTCCTCTTATATCTCTGCACATCTCCTTTCAGCTGATGATTATGGTTCTGCAGACTGCTGATTAAGTGTCTCATTTCTCTGTTTATTGGGCCTGAAAGAAAGAAGGAGATGGTGATGCTGATAGTCAGTCAAATACAATGACAGACAGGCATCTTTATGACGCTAAGCATAAAGTAAACCCCAGCCAAAACCACGAACAATCAGGGAAACGATGACAGGATACACCGCCCCCACGGACTTCCTTGCTGCAGCCTTGGTTACTGTAAAACAAATGGGCTTTGGGAAAGACTCCACTAATGTATCCCACTGAACTGAACCTGCCGAGCATGTCAACCATAAAGAATAAAATGAAATGACGTTACCTGCTTGCTCATTGGCTGCAAGATTCTGTTCAAATTCAATCCGTAACATTTCATACTCCTTGCGGACCTGGGCTAGTGTGTCCTCTAGCTGAATGACCTCAGTGCGTAACTTCTTCTGGAGGGACAACTCATCGCTCTAGTACAACAGAAATACATTCAAGCATTTACAAGAAGCACACTCAGGATATAACCTCCACATGTCTTCAGCAGTGTTTAACAAATGTACATTTGAGATCTTCAATTAAACAAACTGAGGAATAAATCACAGAGAACACAAAACGTCAGAATGGCCTTAAAATGAAAATGTCTAGCAAAGCCCACAGGGTTGTCTGTAATACCAAGCTTTCACAATCAGCAGCTTCAAAGGACTTTTAAGAGCATGATTAATTTTAAATAAAGCACCATTGTAATTCAAAACCTGGCATATGTTGTGTCCTTACTGTACTTAACATTTTATTTACACTTAGGATATTTAAATGCAGTTTCTGAAATATTGATCAAAATGTGCATTATTTATGTCAGTATATGATATATATTCATTCATGTGAGTTATTCATGTCAGTGTTATCTAAATTTAAGATTTTTAATTTAAGAATAAACCCATACGCAAATTCAATTTCACTTTCACAGTCCTGTGTATGTTTTGAAGAACTTTCAAGGTCTGAAACTCAAATACTTACAAGAACCATGGGAACCATCTGTATTGGGAACACTAGAGTTTGAATGTTCCAACTTAAAATAAATCTGTTGTTTTAACTCACTTTACATAGAATAGCTTAATGTATGAATTTCCCCAAAAAAACATTTATTGCACTTAGAGCTGGGCGATATGGCAAAATAAATTATCACGATAATTTTTTTCATATCAGTCGATATCGATATTTATCTCGATAAATGTAAAATCTTTATATCTATCAATTATATAAGATTTTCAGCATGCCAATCGCTTTGTGCAGCTGATTTAACACATTTAGTGAAATGTTTTAGCTGTCTGACAATATAAATAATAAAATACTAAACAAAAGAACAATCTTAATTCAGCATTTACTTGTTCAAGTTTTCAACAACCAAAGACATTACCTACAAGCTATTGGATATTATTGTTCAACATCAGAAAAAAAAATAAACCTGGTTTGGAACAACGTGAGTTAATAGTCACAGAATTTTCAGTTTTGGATGAACTCTCCTTTTTATGGTGAGTATGGTGAATTTAGGGTGAAATATACTTTAATGTATTTTATTTAGGGATGCTAATGATCTATTGATTGTCGATAACGCTTTAATTGATAAACCTTATCGATGACTGATTAAGCATGGACATGTAAAGGTTTAGTTATGCTTTGCGCTGAGACGCATCCACGCATTACATCATCAAGTGTGTGCAGTTTATCTTATGCTGTCACCCTCTTGACATCCCATATTGCGGGTTGCATAAAACCTTGTTATGCGCATATCTCTGATATATCCGCGCGTGTTTTAACCAAATTTGTCTGACAGACTAGCACAAATAGGCGTATGCAGACTCTCAATTTACAAATCACGCATCACAACGAAAACATCCGGGGAGCGAGCCGGGGAGCCTCCGTTTACACAGCGAGCTTCTGAGCGCCATCCAAGTTTATTCTCCCAAGGTAACCCAAGAAATCTATTAGTGCTGCAAAAAGACTGTCCAGTTCATGCTGCTCAGACCGCGCTTAGATAATGAATTAAAATGAAACCATAAAAATAGTTTTATGAATTGTTTTGGCGCTAAAGCATATAGCAGGCTTGTGTTAAAGCACTTCACCTCAGATGTTATTCGTTCCTCTTGTTTATGCTGTAGATATCTGACCAACAAAATATACATCAAAATTAAGTTACACATCATACAAAATGAAATTCATTACAAAAAGATAAATTTTCAAGGAAATATATTTATATTTATTTAGTTCGTGTCCCCCTTAAACAACTGCGGGTGGATGATACTTGGCTCCGTGGAAAAAAAGCTGTTGCTGTTCTAAACGTCTGTCATATATTTGCTGCATTTTTAATGTCATTATTTTAAAGATTATATCTTGAGCATCTGATTTCTCCTCTGTGATTATGTCCTTTAAATATATAAAGGCTGGTTCTTTTACCATCCATGAGAGACAATTGTGGTATTACAGATTTCAAAACAAATATTTTAATAAAAAGGAAACATAAGCTTGACATCAAAAGATCTTATTATTGTCTTAACAAATACCCTTAAATGATGCAGGCTGTAGTTTACAGCAAGCATCAAGTGTTCATTGAGATGTGATTGAGATTGTGTTGTCCGTCTGTCTTTTCAGGGGGTTTTTTTCTCGTAAGGCTTTCGAAAATGATGACATGAGACTCTGCTGGGTAGCTGCGCTGGTTTGCCAACACTTGTTTATGTCTGTAATTTCTTAGCATCTTTATAAGGGTGGTCTTGTTTTACATGGTGAAACAGGTCGTGGTGTTGCCTGCTTTTGATGACACGAGTCGTCTAAGTAGTTTGCGGTTCACGTTGCTCTGTTTTGTGTCGGATAGCGAAAAACTAAGTAGCTCATGAAATAGTGACGTTTCTTGTCAACAATAGCCGCGTTTCCACTATCGCGCCTAAAGCGAGCGAGCCAGGGCGAGCCAAGGCCAGTGGCGTTTCCACTGTCACTTCCGGGGCTTAATCGGGCCAAAGCGGGGCTTTTTTGGGGCCAGCGGCCGGCCTTTTTCGGCCCGCCGAATACCTTGGGCCAAGGAGGGCCAGCTGGGGCTTCGGGGCAGAGTGAAAGGAGAGACGGGCAGTTTTCTGATCGCACATGAGTACATGTGCCAAACAAATAAAGAAATAAGGGAAAGAAAACATCTGGCCTTATAGTCTGGGGTCTTTTTGCATATGGTCACCCTTATGTTTCCCTTTTAAATATAAGGCTGCTGCATAAAACAATAAGATAGTTTTAATTTATAGTGACGTTCTTTGCTGCGTCCTCCTTTGTTTCAATAGCGCATAATAATCATTACACCATATGAAAAACACAGCAGACAATAAAGGTTTTCGAGAGTTTTTGTCAAGTTTAAAAGGTGTGTTTATGCGCGTTTAAATGCCTGTATTTGTGTGTGAGACCGGGCAAGAGCGCTCCATTTACAGCTCTGTTGATGCCGCGAGCGGGCAGATATTGAGATAATACACAATATAAATACAACAGAACGACATAAAACATATCAAATTACGTGCCCACTTTCGTAGACTTTAAACAAAATATTATCATTTCTTGATAAAATAGCCTAAGCTATATTGAAATATAATTTAAAGAATTACAAATATCGGATATAAATAAAATCGCATTAAATAAATAAACCAATATAAAATAAACAAAAGCTAGCTATAACAATGTAGGTAGCCTATATACAATACATAAATCAAACCGTTTAAAGCCACATATAGCCTAACTTTCATTTTACAAAGACCTGTCTGAAATAAAAAAAGATTTTAGATATTTTCTAAAAACAATAAACACCAGAGAAGGTTTGAAATATTATTTATAAAGTATTTGGATACGACGATATTAATCTAATCGCGCAAACAGAGCAATATTTGTTTTATTGTATATATAGTTTGTTTTATTGTTTCATAATATATATAAAACGCATTGGGGGAAAGCCCAAACACAAAATGTGTTCTATATTCTCAAACGACTGTTTATGTTTTTATATGATGTGGTTAAATTTATAAATGAAACTTTAAATGAAGAGCTTTAGTGAATAGCTGCTGAGCGCAACAAATATGGCTATATTTTATTAGGCTACTCGCTCTTCATGTGCCGGAAACACTTAATAAGACGTGCTATATAGAGTTATAAAGGAGAATTTCTGTGGCTTTATATTATGGACGGGTGCGCTCACTGTGATGGGTCTGTTAGTGGCGAGAGCAATGCACAATGCCAACAGTCGGTCGGCGAGTAAACAAATGTAATGAATGGAAATACAGTACTGCTGTACAGTAACATGTCATTTGTTTGTTTCGGTTGTCTTCATTTTAATGGTTTCGTTTCGTGATGATTTTATGGTGTGCTTTATCTGCCTCATTCCCGCTGAAGTGGGCGGGTTGTGTGACGTTTGATTCGGGGGACATTCTGTGGGCGGTGTTTGCGTGACAATCTGTGAGCCCGACAGTGGAAACGCGACATGATTTCGGCCTCATTTCTCAACCTCCCGGGCTATTGGCCCGACCCGGCACGATTAAAGCCCTGGCTCGCACTGGCCCGATAGTGGAAATGCGGCTAATGTCGTTGAACTTTTTTTACCTTATTTCTTTCTTACTCCTTTCAGTGCAACTAACACTGTATGGCTGTAAACTTGTACGGCGTGCGGCAGTCGGAAGAGCAGGCTGCAAAATGCTTGCGCAATATTATCGAGCAATTATCAAACTGTCATTATCGTTTTATCGAAAGCGCTAATTGCACTGCAAGTGGATGTTCTCAGTCAGTACATTTGTATTGTTCTCCAGTGCAAACCTTTAAAGATCCTTAAGTTAAGGTATACTTTAGAAGTCAGCATCCTTGGAAGGCAAAATGACGAGATGAGATATCTTGATTTCTAGGACATTTTTAGTTAGCTTACATTTTATTTCTTCTCCATTGTTCTATATTGTTTTTCTTAGAAATTCGGTTTTATCTATACCAAATACTATGTTTTTTCAGATTTAATTTTCCTTTAATTAATTGTCAAAACCATGTCTAATCAATTGAATTTATAAAACAATTTATCAATTAGTCTATAATGACAGGGTATTATTAAAATGTCTGTTTCTTTATTCAGGGTTTGCATTGAAAATTCTCAAGTAATCAAATGCATTAAAGATTGTGCATTTTAACAAAGGTAGGGTTTCTGCGGCTTTCAAAATGTCAAATTTAAGAACTTTTAAAAAAAATTAAGATTGAATTTTATACTTTAGGGCTAAACGCAGAGGATTTTTCAAATGGCTTGGTTTGACCAATGGAAAAGATTTTTACCTGGTTCATAAAAAATGTTAATTTAGATTTTTTACATGTTTTAAATAACGTGTCAAAATATAAGCAAAATATTGTTATACATACATATATAGTTTTTTTTGTAACAGCACTTCATAACACTAAAGGTTATTGAATCACACTGAATCCGAAATTTTGTCCGTAATTTTCACACATTGAGAAATAAATTTGATCTAACGTTGACTTGTGAATCGCATTGACATACTGCCTCCGAAATCTTTGTCTGTCATAAAAAAATTTGAACCAGGTAAAAATTTTTTCCCTTTTTCGTATCTAAAAGAGTGCTTTGAAAAGTCTTTTGACAGTTCAAAGCCACCTTACAATCGAAAGGCAAAATACAAAATGTCACTTGAGCCACAGATAATTTTATGACAAACAGTGCATAATATAAGAGAGTGTGGCAGGCAGTTGATGCTGCTTGCAGTGAAAATTTCAGACTTCAGTGTGCAAAGGCCTTAAGAGTAACAAAATAACATAACAGTAAGATAATTAAATCATATCTGTAATTAGTTAATAAATAAAAAACATGTTAACGGTTTTATTAAGACGAATTGTTGGTGATTGGATGGGTGTCGGCCCTGAAAATCTTGTACCAGCAATAACTTTTAAACTACAATCCTCCTCACCTCCATGTGCTCAATCTGTCGTAGATGAGCATTTTTGGCTGTAAGCAGCAGAGCTCTGGCTTCATCCAGCTGCGTCTTCACACTCAGAGACTCATTATACAGCAGAGAGAACTGAGACTGGAGGCACTTGTACTCTGGCGTCTCCTTCAACACTTCCTCTGGGATATTCCTCAGATCCATCTACAAACGGATACAGAGGTCAGTAATACACCAGGAAAAATGAAATCCTTTTGATATGCCCCCACCCAGCTTCCTGCTTCAACAGGAAACAAGTTGAGACATGAAAGAAAACTATTGTCATCGGGCAATGCAAAGGCTTTTAGTGAACTTTGGCCACCTTTAGTTTCTCGCCCTCCCGAACAGCTTCCTGTAGCTCTTGCTGCAATTTTTCTAGCTCTGCCATGCGGCTGTTGGCAAGTTCCTGATTCTGCTCCAGTTCGGCATTCAGAGACTCAAACTGCAGGGCAGAGAAATACTCATTAAACAAAACTGACTTACTGTTACAGATTGCAGTTAACATTTTTATGCTATTTTATATGGGTCATTATTGTTTACTCAACAAAAGTAAAAACGTAAAGTATTAAAAGTCAAGTATTAAAGTATTAAAAATATTTTTGCTGCACTTTATATTAAATTGAAATTTTAGACTTAAACAGGGCTAAATGCTATTTTTTTTTTAAATAAGCCAACTAGAGATGATTTTCACCTGCCCATTTAAAAAATAATAAAAATTTAATACATTTAATAATACAATAATAATAATTTAAGATTTTTTAATTAATTTTCAAATATATCCATTCACAAATCCTATAACCTTTACCAAGAATACAACAAAACATAGCTTTCAATAACTTCAGTCTATAATAGTAATAAAATTGAGAGAAAAAATAAGACCTGTTACAAAAAGATTTAAGACCTACAACACAACATTTCAGTAGATTTAAGACTTTTTAAGGTTTAAAATTTTGCTCTTGAGATTTAAGACATTTTAAGACTTTAAGACCCCGCGAACCCCCTTTTATACATCACTTATTAATTTTTGTGAATATTAGATTCAATAATTATTTATTAAAACTCACATTTGTATTTGTAAAACTAATGTGTGGTCAACTAACATGAACAATTTAATTTCTTCAAACAAAGATTAATAAGTGCTGTAGACATACATGATAAATACTAAAATAACACTTTACCTTCTGTATGCTGAGTGTGATTTGCCCACCCGGTAATCCACCAGAACTGCCAGTAGCATGGTAACCAGTATTAAGCTGATTTGGAGGAAAGGGAAAAAAAAACATACAGGAAAATAACCAATAAACATTTGTTGTGCCACATAAACATATAATAATAAATGTGCCACATAATAATCGTATAATAATATTTTAACAAATTACTATATAATTGGTTTGCTTAATTCAATCTCATAACAATCTCATTCCTTTTCTCAAAATAAACAATAATACTGTGCTCTGTGATAGCAAAAAAAAAAAAAAACTGCGTGGAAAATATAAAATGAGAAGATGACATTAAACAGAATACTAAAGAGATGAACAGAAAGCTTACCTGCTCCAGAGCTTCTGCTAGGTGTTTATTCAGCTTCTGCTCTCGCTTACGGAGTTTCTCGATGTCCCACTGCAGATCCTCCACCGCAGTTTCCATCTCAGACACTTTAGTCTCAGAACTCGTAACTTTATCAACCAGTTCATTATACTACGGACACAAAGACATATCTTAAGGACACTACATACTTTTAAAATACAGTTTTAGATTAACAAAATTTAAAAGGGCAGCATTTATTATAAACCACTTAACTGTAAAAAGTCTTCTAGACAATTAAATAAACCTCTGCTCGCCTAAAACTTTTCAATAGTATTGTATTTCTGACAATGAAACAAAACACAGTTAGACAAAATGGCAGAATGCGATACCTCTAATGACATTTTGTGGTGTTTCCCTTGAAGAGAGGATGCAAGGTCATACAGACGATTATTTTCCTCTAGAAGTTTGCGGTTTGTGGTAGCTATGTCTCGCTGACTGTCATCTTCACATGCTGATAAGAACAAAGTGCACAGGTTTAGCAATTGGTCGCACAGTTATGAAACCAAAACATTCACTGACGCTTTGTTTCTGCTTAAAATCCACACTAAATGAACTGAACCACACAAAATGAACTTCTTTTACCAGCAGACTCGACTCGAGTGCACAGCTTGTCAATGCTGGTATGCAGACGGTCAAAGATGCAGACCATGCAGGCCACAGCACCCTTGCTGAACTGCATCCTGTCCTGCAGCTGCAGTGTGAGCTCCTCTTCACTGCTGTTATCCAGAATGGCCAGAAAAGCCTTTGCGCTCTCACTGAGAGGTGGAAGAGGCGAAGGGGCTACAAGAAAAAAGATCAAACAAATAAATTAGAATTTAATGAAATGGTTCATTTCAAGTGAAATAAAGAATTTGAAGTGAATGGTAAAGTTAGAGGCTATGAAGAGGCTCAATGTGACCTAGCACAGTGTTTCTTAAAACAGTGAGTTGCCGAAGCTTTCTGTTATGCTTTTTGATTTTGAAAGAACTGTTAGATATGCTGATGATGCTTATTTCAGATGTGGTTCAATCTTATTAGGGCTGCACTATGGAACAAAATCAATGCCAAAAGTATTAAATTAAAAAGCTTGTTGAATAACACAAAATAAAAAAAATAATACACTGAATTAACAGGTTCTTGCATTTTAATGACTTGAATTTCAGGGTTTGTATTTTTAGGTCCTGAAATTTAACATATCTGTTTATTCAAGCTGTTAATATTTCAACAAAAAATATTTCAAACACGTTTTCATACTTATAAATTCAATAAATCATATTTAATTTCCAGATTTCACTTACAAAATATTCAATAATACCCTTTAAAAATATGATGTATAATATTCAAAGGACAATTTTCAGTTCATTTTATTTCAGTTCAAATTTTCACTTCCATAAATTCAGTGGTTCAAATTTGACTGTTAAAATTCAACATTACATCCGGGAACTGTGGGAAAAGCCATAGATTGCAGATTGAAGATCGCCAGCTGCTCTTTCACCAGCAGGTAGAGATGGAATAATTTAAGTTTTTTAACCCATTAAATAGGCAAGAAAAAAGCTAATAAAGGCACAAAAGTAGCATTAAATATTAATACCAATGTCTTGGGCATTATAAGTAATAAAAGAAGTATGAGTAAAATGAGTAATTAAAATTAATTAAAATTAATCCAATTAGAAAATTAGACCAACAAATATATGTAGCAGATTTTAAAAATGTGTATCAAATACAATGCAGCAAACTTTTCAAATAGGCTGCAGAGGACGTTTTGAAAACATAAATTAATAAACTATGTTATATACATATAAATATATACATTAAATCGCTATATATTCTATGCATGATGTTTACCTGGAATTTCATCTGCCACTGGTGCTTCTGCTGACTTCTCGACAGAGTCAGGCTGCTGTTGCTGCTCTTGCTGCTGCTCCTTTTCTTGTGATGGTTGTTGCTGATCTTCCGTTCCTTCAGCTGCTACTGAAGGCTGCGGGAGCCCATCCTCTCCCTCCACTGGAGCCGGCAGTGGAGCAGACGGTTCAGGAGCAGGTGATGGGGCTACAGCAGGAACAGGAGCGTCTGCTGGAACAGGAGGGGTGGCAGGGATTTGAACCGGTGCTGGGGCATCCTTAGGCTCCACATGCTGCAGCAACTCATGGATGTTTTCTTCCAGCTGTGAGAACAGACAGTTCAAATGAGTCTTTATAACAGTACTTTTAAATGTTATGAAAGTGTCATGCATTTGATGCACTGTTTTGTTAAACGTT